GCATGCTGGTGTTCCCCTGCCTGCACATAAGGACAGCGAGCCGAGCTGGATATCCCTCTAGAGCGGCCGCGGCTGCCGAAGGGAGTGCCACGGCCGAGATGCTGATGGGGACAGAAATGCTTTAGGACTTTTATTTGCGCTTGCGTCTGCTGCGAAATGTCCTGGCACTAGTGCCCAGCTGGGTACAGAGCCCTGTACAGCCGGAGAGGCAGCGCAGGGCTGCTCCTGTTCCTTGGCCCCAGGTGTATCCCTGAGCCCCAGGGTGCCGGGGCACGCACCCGCCCCGCTGCCCTGCCAGGGCTGCGGGACCCGGCTGCTGCAGCGCAGTGAGCCCTGCATGGCTGGGGCTGCACGTGCCTCTGGCCCCATGCCTGCGCACAGAGCAGCATTGTGCCAGCTTGGCACACCACACATCCCAGTTCCCTCCACACTGAGGCCCACCCCAACCCCAGGTACTGATTTCCAAACCTCATCACTCATTCTCTGGCTGTGATCCCCCACCAGCACGCCGTGCATTGAGGCCATCCAGGCTGGGCTCACACACTGCCCCTGAGTCTCCCATTTACACTCTTTGCACACACCCCTCCACTCACCCCTCTCCCCAGCATGCCAGCTGCAGCCACCTCCTAGGGCAGTGGGGTCATGGCACAGCGTGTGCAGCCTGACAGGGAATCAGGGAACATGGGACTAGGCAAGGACTTTGCAGTGCAGGACAGACTAGCTTGCATGATCTTGTTTGGGTTGCAGGACCCAGCTGGACTTTGGGCGCAGCTGAAATTTAAGGTCAGGTGGGGGTGCTGGTTGGATGAGGATGAGCTGGGCATTATCCTGCTGTGTACAACGGTGGGGGTCACAGAGAGCTGGGGAAAGAGACCTCACACCAGTGACACACAGTGCCACTTCATCCCTCCCACCCTGCATCCACCTTTGGGTGTTTCACCTTGGGACCAGGTGGAGGGAGATGTTCTTCTTCAGGGAAATCCACTATCGGCTAGTGTAGTCACAAGAGCAATGCCTAGGGGGTTTTATATGGTGAGCACTACTGGAACTATCGACTGTAGGCGAAAGGGTGTTCATTGTTTGGGAAACTGAGCTGAGTTGCACTACCGGCCTGAAGCATCTTGGAGTGCCAGAGCATTGGTATATACCTGGTGCCATGGGCATCGAGGGGCCATAGGCACAACTGGGACACAGCAGGAGGAGGGTATGGACAGCCAGCTGTTCCTGAGCACAGTGCCAGCAGGTAAACATAGCCACAGTGACAGTCCTTTGGGGCTGGCCAAAGCACTGAACCCTCCCCATGTCATGTCCACGGATGAGGGTGTATTTTACAGGTACCCACATCCTCAGCTGCAGTGGCACCAGGTGGCCCTGCCCTCCTGTCACAGTCCACAGGGGCAACAGCGGTGCCCCAAGGTAAATCCCAGCTGGAAAGAAAACCCCTGGAAAAGGCAAAGTTGGTGAAGGTTTTTATATCTCTATCTCAAGCAGGGAAATTAGGTTTGTGTTAGGAGGGTGGAAGATCAGTCCTGGAAGGCTTCAGAAATAGGGAGCAAAGTGGCTCACAAGCTGCCTTGAGGGCACAGCCCTGTTTTCACACGAGACATCCCCAGATGACGGGTCAGGCCACAGTGTGCCAGGCAGGCATGTCTGTCTGGCTTGGCCTTATTGCTGGCTGCAGTTCCCCAGAGCTGGGTTTGGGGAGCAGGTGTGTCCCTTCCCCGGGGCCAGCAGTCCCCTCCTCAGTGGCACAGCTGCCCTCCTCCTCTTCTTCACTCCCTGGGCAGAGGAAGCAGCATGGAAAGGCTTTGCAGGAAGATGGCAGCAGCCTCCTTAGCCCAGCAGGGAGCTTATATGCTTGGCTGGCTTCCCCTCTCTCTCCATGGAGGTGACAGTCTCCAGCTCTGGCTTTCCATGGCTGCTCAGGAAGCAGCCCTCGTTCCTCCAGTGTTCCTGCAAGCAGGAAGGCGGGCAGTGAAATGGGACCCCCTTCTGCCTAGCCCACACCAGCCCCAGGACCCTCAGTAGGACTGTCTGGAGGCAGAGCTGGTGGTTTGCCCCATGGACAGATCCAGTCCTCAGAGCAGGGCACCTAGGGTAGCCCCTCACCTGAGACTGTGTTCTCCAGAAAAAATGACAAGAAGCCAGTTAAGAAGACAGGGCCCATAAGCAGGGAGAGGAAGAGGAGGTCCAGTGGCACCCAGCCTGCAGGGACAGTGCCAGAATCAGCCAGGAGGTCCCAGCCCAGCCAGGGAAAAGGGGCACGAGCAACCATGGCAGAATCAGGGATTGAAGAGGTAGCTTCCTGCTGCCATGAGCTGATCCAGGCTCCCAGAACACTGGAGATGTGTGCTCACCATGCCATGGGACTCAAGGCTCTGCCTTGCCTGGGGAATGTCCCTCATACCTGTGGCCAGGGGAGCCAGAGCCATGCCGAACCAGCGCGGTACCAGCAGTGCCATGAACATGGCAAAGCCAACAATGAAGATGTTCCTCCCCGAGTCAATGTCTGTGTACTGGAAGTAGGAGATCCCCGTGCCCACAGCCACGGCGTAGGTTACACAAAGCACCCCTCCTGCGAGGGGCAGGAGTCAGGAGGTGCCAGGCAGGCTGCAGGTGCTGCAGCAAGGGGCAGGGCGGGGTACCCACCGTGAACTGCCAGTGGGACATGGGTGAGGAGCCCTGCCAGCCTCGGGGACAGGCCCAGCACCATGCACAGCAGGGCGCTTACTTGCACCGAGCGGCGAGAGCCAGCCTGGGAAAGAAGAGTGGGAAAGTGAGCATGGGTAGCATCACCCCCTGCTCTGTCTCCCACCCCCTTCTGCTACACACACACCTGCCTTTCCCAGCGCTGGCTCGGTGACAGCCTGGCAATTATGTGTAGTCCTGCCCACCTGCTCGACTGCCTCCCCACCCCTTGCCAGCCCATTTCCCCCTGCTTTGGCATACCTGCGTGAGGCCAGCGGCACAGGCGTTGGCGATGCTGGAGGCTGTGCCCCCTGCACTGCCCAGCAGTCCCGCCAGGACACTGCCCAGCCCTTCCATGCACAGCCCCCGGTTACAGGCGTGAGGGGGCAGCCGGGGGGCTCGCAGCAGCCTCCTGCACAGCACGTAGCAGCCCACAGAGTTCATGCTGCAGCCCATGGCCATGGCGATGCCCACTGCCAGCGCCCGGGCCGTGAGCAGCGGCCACCTCCACGCTCCTGCAGTGGAGGGAAGAGGGACAGGTGATACAAATCCTGTC